TGCACCTCAGTCTTACGTGTGCTACTGTTTTGCAATTGAGCAAACTTCAAATTGTTTTTTTGCGGAAGTGCCTATAATACATTGAATACCTCAGCTGTAACTGGTGCTGATTATAAAGCAATTTGATTGCTACACGGAAACTATTAAATGCTATTTGTAGCCTATTTAGTGTCCAAAGAAAGTAGGTTACAGTAGAAGTTTGGGAAATAATAAAACTCACCCATTCTTCCAGAAGCATTCTAACTAGAATACAAAGGCTATTAATATCCTTTTACAAATGGACAGATTAGCTGGCAAAATCAGTACATCCCCCCTGGGTCACCTCTGTGACCCTGTGTACCCAAACTCAGGCTAAGGTGATGGAACAGAAAGAGCAGAGTCCTAGCTAGGTCTACTTAGTTCCTAGAACTAACACTTCTGGAGACAGGAATTAGAAGAAGGGGAGTCTTTTGAGACAACATACCCCAGAATAAAAGTAACTAACATTTTTAAGCACTGTATTTTAGGTATTGATTTTTATATGTATTAATTCATTTAATTTTTTCATCGACTTGATGAAGCTGACACTATAATGATGGCTATTTCAAAGACAGCGAGACTGAGAATGAAGAGATTAATTACTTAAAGCATCAAGCCATCCTTGACTCTTCCCTTTTTCTCCTACAATCTATCTGTATCCAACATGTCAGGAACATTATGCTGACTCTGCTTCAAAATATGTCTAGAATGTGGCCACAACCAGAATCTGACTTCATCTCCCTGTTTCTACCTTTGTCCCCTTACACTGCACAGCAGAGGGATCCATTCAAAACATCAGATCTTGTTACTCTTCTGTTTAATACTTGATGACGTTGTCCATTTCATTCAAGTAAATGGCATATAATACCCTACGGTGGCATCTCATTAGTTTTCTGAACTCATCTCTTTCTACTGTCCCCCTCTTGTCACTCTTTCCTTGATTTTTGCTTCCATGCTTTTTTTTTTTTTTTTTTTTTAAATATGGCAGGCTCTTTCCTTCCTTAGGATCTTTGCTTCTAACTGTTCTCTCTGCCCAAAATGATTTCCCCTCAGATGTACACTTACCTAACTCTCTTACGTCTTTCAAGTTTTTGCTCAGAAATTATTAATAGCTTTATAATGACACTTACTTAGACACCTTATTGGATACTGCAACTTGCTCTACCTTGCAAAGCACTTACCATCTTTTAACATATAATGCAATTTATTTATTATGTTTATCATCTCTTTCCTTGGTTAGAACTTTAGTTCAATGAGGATAGGTGTCTTTGATTTGTTCACTGATGTATCTCAAAAACGAGAACAGTCCCTCGCACTCTGTAAAATAAGCTTATTAAATGGAGTTTTCCTGGCTATTAAGTGACAAAAGGCAGGATTTACAACTGAAGTCTGGCTTTAGGAGCCTGCATACCTAACTTGTAGGGGAAAGCTTGGGCCAGCAGCTGTCACACTCCTACCAGTCAGATTATCTGTTTCCCTTGGTGAGGAATGTATAAGATGGGGACCTCTCTCTCCAGAACTCTGTAGAGAGTGGGCTGAGATAAGGAACTCATAAAGAAACTGTCCCTCCTCTCATCTAGTGATTTACTACAAATTGAAAGTGAAATTGTGTTCTTACTTATAGGGTCTTCTAGTATATTGGAATCCTTCAGGATTTGTAGGTCAGTGTAACAGTCCTTACTGTAATATAATTTTTAAAATTCTTCTATAGATTATCTTGAAATCAGGTGTTTAAATCCAAATATTAGTGTAGTAATATGTCTTAAATGACAACCACAAAAATGTCCCATTCTGCATCTAATAGTAAGTGTTATCACTACTGAAATAAAGATTGATAAATACAAATCTGTATTACCAGAAAAGTGTAGTCATCACTATTTTATCATCTGGGTCAAATGTACTCTTTTAAATTTTTTATATTCTTAAGTCATTTTACAAATAATTTTCAGAAGAATAAAGGGATAATCTAAGAAACAACTTTATTAGAAAATGTAGTAAGAATTTAAATATAGCACACCCAAATTTTCGTTCCATATTTCCATGGTTATAAAGGCTTACATACTTGAAATGGGCGATGTCTTTTGAATGCAACTGATTGCTCTACACCTTTCATTCATGGACCTGGAAACGTACCCATCTTGTAAATTCTAATTCCAGATTTCCAATACATCTCTAATAAGTTCTGCTTATAATTACGCTGGCTTTTCTTGCACTTTACCTGTCAAAATGCAATACTGATTGCATTTTGCATTCCATATTTTAAATACATCACTACTGGGTTCTAGCTTATGATTCATTCTCACTCTTGTTGTCATCAAAATGCAATACTTTTGAAAACCTCGATGGCTCATAATTTTGTTGGAGAGTACAGTCTTTGTTCTATAAATGTAAAATAATTTTGTTTAGATTTAGAAACACCAATTAAAATTATTGATCCAGTGAATTGTCTTGTTTCTTCATTATATGTTTTCTTTCAATAATTTTAATTATACAAGTGCCTTCATCTTAGGTAAATTTTTGGTGCACAAA